ATGCTGCTGGTAATTCTTTGATTTTAAAGTGCCTAAATTAAGCTTTAGGCATGCATCACTTGTGACAAGTTAGAGGAGATGTTGCGGAGAGAAAATGTGCTTCTTCAGGTATTTCATTAGAGATTTAATAATAGTAATAATATGCAATAAATCACTTAAATTGTCAGCAAATACAGCCAAAGTGACAATTCAATTCTTCGCATGTTCCCTTTAATTAAACATTTTTTTACGAATTTGTAAGTGTTTTACTCAGATGGATGAATTCTTTACCCATGTTTCTGCTTCCATCTTTTTACCTGAGGTCAGTTAAGTTTTATTTTAAACTTGTACAGAACGTGTCCTGTTTATAGCCATGCATTTTTTCTGTTTTGGCTGTTCCAAATGGTCTGGATGTCTTGTAAAGATACACCAGCTTGTTTTGATTTGTGCAGTTTGTTACCGAAAAAAATACAGCAAATAACTTAGAAGCAATTGTGGGTCAGAAAAACTGGCAGCTAAAGTGAACTGCTGTGATATTTATGGGGCGATACGTACATCCTACAGAGTATTTGTAACCTAGAGTTGTTCTATAATCTTGATTATTATTTAATTTAAAAGATGGGCTAAAGTTCAGAGAAATTAATAGAAATCAGATGTAACAGATTTAGGGCAGTGACCTTTCAAAATACTAAATTATTTAGTATTTTGAAACCATAATCCATGGTATCTGTGAATGTGGACTACTGATTTGCATAATTAAATCCAGATCCTTCCCCCTGACCAAATATCCAACTGAACTTGTACTGTATGTTTTTATTCCACAGTGCCTCCTATGCTCACCAGCGTGCCTCGGCTAACAAATGTTTGGCACACTTCTATTTTTAAATTAATTTAAAAAAAAAAAAAAAAAGCATCTGAGTACATGAGAAAAAAAAAAGAAAGATACATTTGAAAACCTACATAAGCTTTATAAGTTGAGTCTTTAATAATGTTCTGAAATGTTAGCATTTGGATTATATTGTGTTACATGTAGATCTCCATGTTTTAAAGACGTTCCAACGTCATGCTAATTTTGGCAGACTGCTGGTCTGCAGGCAGAAAGCTACTGAGGCGATGTGTTGTGTTTTAGAACATATGAAACTGTGCAGTGGGGTCCACCATTGAAAACATGTGTAGAGGTGGTTTTAATGTTTTAATATTGTTTTCTTTTCCTTGCCAAACCAAAAGAATTGAGCATTTTTGAAAAGCTGTTTCTTAAAAAATAAATATATACACAATTTTATTGTGCATGTGCTTTTTTGGTAAACAACACCAGAAACAGATTAAATCTGGGGTGGATGTCAAGTTTGTTTAATGTTTTGTCAGTACAACAAAAAGTCTGATTCATTGGTGAAGGTGAAGAAAATTCCCTTTGGAGTTCAGAAATATGGGAGTTGTACTGGTGGACTTTTAATACACTGTAAAAAGTAGCCGTTCGTTATGTTGTTAAATAAGTATGCTTATTATTGTTTGGAACTTATATAAAATTAATACTTTAACTGGACTATTCAAAAACATTTGAGTTTGAGTCAACAAATTGAATAATTTATAGTTATAGTCAATAAATTTGAATATTCTAATGAGGCCCTTTTGTCAAATTAAAAGTACTTTTTAAAAAAAAAAAAAGATTTTCAACCAGATGTGGGCTTAATGCTTTTCATTAAGCCCACATTTCTGTATTAAAAAATATGTGTGTTGGTCTGAATTGAATCCTGCGTCATGTTTTTCCGTCAGCCATTATTGTGGAAAATCAACACAAGCTTGAAAATGAATAAACATCTATAGTGTGACTGAGGTAGCTGGACTTTGAAATATTCGCTAGTATGGAACGCCTCGTTATTTATCTAAATTTGCCCAAATTGTGTCCAGATCTGACTGAGTGGACACTGAGTGGATTTGTTTGTCCCTGAATGCAGAGTTTTATTTCAGTGAAATAAAACTTTTTGAATGGGAAGGAAAAAATAATAATTTCTGCTTATAGAAAAACATATTGACTGGTATAAAAGAGGCTAAATTCCCATAAGATACCTTTGAGAAAACTGACATTGAGACACTTAAATCTAGGTTGGTTGAGGATTATAAAGCCGTTTAACTCCAACTGTTCAAGCTTCAGTGTGGTTGCGAGGCTTCCTTGAGGTTGCTGCTGGAATCTTCCTGGCCACGCGGGGGCGCTGTCCGCTGTGTGTGGCGCTCGCCACCGGTGGAAGAGCCACTCCGTTGCTACGTCACCACATTTCACCGAAGGCTTTGAAACAGCTTGGAAAAGCCCAGAAGTTCATCCTGAGAAGCTTCCAGAAGCAGGTAAGTTCAACGAAAAAGGGATTAAACTTCGCTTAGAGTTAGGCTAGGTTAGGTTGCAGAACACAATAACAAAGGTGGTAGAGAGTTTCACCAGTGAACCTGTTGCGGTTTCTGAATGTATTGATGTGTCGGCCGGCGATAAAGTGGCATCTCTGTGTTCAGAGATAAGATGAGGGATGCTGCTCTCCTGCTCACGTCCTGTGCAGTTGTGTTTCTCCTCCTGAGCTTCAGCCGCGCTGCCAGACAAGGACAGGACATCAGATGTGGAGGTAATCTGTTTGTCCTCTTGGTCAGTTTTCACAACACCTCCAGAAAACTCCTCATGTTCCTGTGATCTGCTGCCTGCTCAGCCTGCAGGGCTCTGGTGGATGAGATGGAGTGGGCCATATCCCAGGTAGATCCAAAGAAAATGATCCAGACTGGGTCCTTCAGGATCAATCCAGATGGGAGTCAGTCCATCAGAGAGGTTAGGGGGTCATTTCAGAGCAGTACTGTTGTGATCAGGCGGTGCAACTAAACTATTGCACCGCCTGCAATAGTTTAGGTGCATTAATTTTATTATAGGATTAAATTATTCAAAAAGTATGTTTGTTTTCTTATCCTATCTAATATTATGTCTGTGCAGACCTCTTTGTGGGGTTAGCCAGTGGCTAGTTTGTGATTTTCTTTTTGTGATCTTTGCTGCTAACAGGTTCCTCTGGCACGCTCAGAGGGAAACCTCCTGGATCTGATGGAGAGTGTGTGCGAGAGGATGGAGGACTACGGAGAGCGCACAGAGCCGTCCACAAACAGGAAGTCCTACGTCAGGGTCAAGTCTCGGACCGGTGAGGCCATGGACCTCTCTGAGGCCGCGTTGGACTCAAGAGTGACATCCAGTTTAAAATTTGCGGTGAGTATATTTTTCTCTTTAGCCCTCTTGCAAAGTTGAAGAACGTCTACACAAGTTTTTAAACCAATGACGATGTTCATTGACTTTAATTTAATCGTTCTTTCATTAATAAGAAGACAAATCACGGTAAGACATTCGCGAAGAGTTGTGCTCATATTTTACTGCTTCTTTTTTTCTTCTGAAGTGTGAAACAATTGTCGAACATCATGAAGATGAAATTATCGAATTCTTCGCTCATGAAACGGATAATGTCAAAGACAAACTCTGCAGTAAAAGGACAGGTATGGTCACCATTGGTTTTGCTCCTCTTTGTGAATTTGAGCCACAGTATGTTTGTGTAATTTCAATGTTTTGTTTGTTGTTGTTTGTGTGCCTTGCAGACCTGTGTGACCACGCCTTAAACATTCCCCACGATGAGCTTTGATATTCTCTCGTCAGAGCTGCGATCTCTGACACAAACCAAACCTTGTGGTGCTGTAAAGTCTCATGACATTGCCTCAAGATGTAAACAATTTTTTTTATACAAGATCACAGAGAATTTAGGAGCACTTGCCGTCTAATTATGTTGTATTCCTTTTGGTTACCGATCCAGTTACTGTCTGTTTTATGTTTTGTTTCTTTCATTCCCATCAAACACTCCTCATTAAACTCAAACTGTGAACAACAAGAATTAATATTTAGTGTCCTGTTGGAAATTTAAAATCACACTTAAAGTTCATTTATTTGTCCTGATTTATAGCATTAATTTGAGGCTTTCCTGCCTTGCTTTTCTTAAAACAGTCTAATAAGTCAATCTAAAGGTTGACTTAAAGATTAAAAATGTCAAATGAATTTGATTTAAGTGAAGTTAGGTTTTCCATGGCAAATATTTCCAGAGTAATCCTTTCATCCTCCCCGTCAACTGCACAATGATTGTAAGAACTCACAATTCAGTCACATGGTGCACAGACTGCATTTTACAGGATTTATTAATCCACCAACATATACCTACATTTTATGCTCATGTTTACCAATATAAAATTTATTTTAATTTTGATGTGGTAGGTTTTCTACAACCCGGATTGCAAATGGCTAGCATTAGAAGAAAACCTTTGTGTCAGTAAGCCAGACTGTTTCCAAACTATGTCCATGTTTCAGCAGCTTTTTCACTATAAAAACTAACAGATGATTTTAAAAAAAGCAACAACAAAAAAAAAAAAAAACACCCAAAAACATTTTCATCAAGACTGTCGAGTCTGTTTACATCTTTGTGTGAAAATTTGTGTTATGGCTTAGAGTGACCTTATGTTTAATTGTCTTAATTCCCCTACATTTTTGCTTCAATAAAGCAAAAAGGTGTTAAGTAGTTAATTTATTTCTTTCACATCCATAACATATTGTGTCATTTGTCATTTTTTGATCAGGACATAAAAAACATAATATTTATAGGATTAATTTAAGTATGGTCATGTGAGTATTTAAGTTTAGTTCCTGTCAGCAAAATTATACCAAACCCTTGTTACATCAATAGAGTGATTTGTGTTGTGATGCTGAATGTACAAAAAATACATTCAGGCTTTTATTTAAAAAAAAAGAAAAAAAATTTGTTTCACAATTGACTTGAAATTTCCACATTTGTATGAATTTCAGAATCTGTTTTCTCTTCAAATATATTTCTATGACCTCAACATGAGTTCAGCCTTTATTTCTAGACTCGAGACCTAATCTGAATCATCTCAAACATCTCATTCTCCACACTGAAACCTAAGCAAACGTTCTATTTTCTGTTTTTATCACTCAATAATCAACTATAAAACCTCTAAAATTACTTTAACAGTATGGATAAAATAAAGTTACTGTACAGTGACTTGCAAAAATATCTTCACTCCTGGAAATATTTACAGCTAAAATGTTATGTGTAACTGTGTGGTATAAAATAAAGACATTGAAAATTGGAAGGAAAGCGATGCTTGGTGTTGCAGCTCTAGTTTTAAGTTTAGGGTTTTTGTAAACCTCTGGTCTACTATCAAATATTTTGCTTTTTCGAATTGTTGCCTTGTATTTACCTCGATAAGTGGTCCAGTCAACTTTGACCATTTTCCCTGTTTCTATTGAAGACAATCACCCCCATAGCATGATGCCCCAACCACCATGTTTTACCATGGAAAAGTGTGTTCAGAGAGACAGGAGTCTTTCACAGCAACAACACATACAGTTTGGATGTTGACCAAAAAGTTAAATTATGTCGTCATCTGACCAGAGTACCTTCTTTGCCTTGCTTATTGTGCTTTGCAAACATAATGACTTCTTGTGGCTTTTTTTTTAAACATTGCTCCTTGCCATTCTTCCAAAAAAAAGCTAGGATTTACAGTATGAATTAAATCCTATCTTTACTTCATAGATAGGATTTGACTACACCCTGACCTTTCCTGAAGGTCAGGGTGTAGTTTTATAACCTATTCCTACTTTAAATATCTCCACACCTTCCTCACTGAACTGTCTACTGTGTTCATTGGCCATCATGATGCTCATTGTTCATTAACGTTCTCTAAAATCAGCTGGATCCTACTGAGATTAAATTATGCACTTGTTCACTAATAAAGTGTCTTCTGGTGGCCATTTATCTATTTAGTGATATCGACGTATGTAGGTGTATGTCAAAACGCATTCATGCACTTGACATACAGACAAATGCCAAATTTGTTTTTATTTGTAACATAAGACCATGCGTCTTTATCCTCCCATTTCTCAGTTATGCTAAACTTTGGGGTGGAGTAGATAGTCCCAACAAAACACACTGAAGTTGTTGCTTGTAATGTTACCAAATATAAAAAAGTTTAAGGGGTTAGAATATGTTTGCAAGACACTGTTTGTTGGATATTTTGTTAGTCTAACTCAACACATTACTGACCTCTCGATCTACCTCCACTGGACCGTCCTCACTAGAATTACAAATATTTATGTTGTCCTCTTCTTCACTTTCTTCCAATCGGGTTTCATCTTTTTCTTCACTGGAGCATCTTAGCTCCTGTTCCCCAGCATCATACTCCTCTTTCACCTCACCAGATAGTGTTTCTTCAGTCCCTAAAGTAATAATGGCTTCAGACACGTGGCTGTTGCAGGACATATTGTCTTCTTCAGCATATCCCTCTGGTTCTTTGTCCGCCTGCCCTGTGTTGAGCTCCAAAACTGCCTGCAGCTCATTAGAGTTCCTCTCAGACTTTGTGTCTGCAACCACATTTAGACAACTCAGATCCCACTGTTCGTTCACCTCCTCCTCTTCGCTCTCGGAGTCGGGTGCTGTGTGCTTCCTGATGCGACTTACCACATCCAACAGGGATTTAGGACACTGAGAGGCTCTCTTTTGTGCAGAGGTCGGAGAGATCTTTGGAGAAACGTCTTCCTCTTGGGAAAGAAAAATTGTCAACTGGCTGGATTCTTCGCTGGAATCTGGATAAAAAGAATTAGAGGGATTTCCCACGATGTCTCGAGCAGCAGTGATGTCAATGCTTAGAGGACACCCAGTTGAGTCTGTTTCAGAGAGAGGAGCACATTCTCTGTCAGGCTCTTGTAGAGAAGATGAAATATCAGAGATTACAAACTTGATTAAGACCTCATCAGATGAAGGACAGGTATCGTCAAGGCATTCATCTTGTGAGTTTTGCAAGGTGTTTAGTTGAGTTTGAGTGAATTCCTCTCGCTCATCGCTTGTTTCTGTCAAGGGACTTGCAGTCAGATCTGGATTTCTTTGGCTTGGCTCCAGAGTCACATCTTTTTCTGTCTTGCACAACACATTGTTCTTCAAATCATTCTTTGGTAGGAAGCTGTAATCTTCTGATTCACAAGTTCTTGGGTTTTCTTCATTGTCCTCACCTGTTTGAACTGTAGGATCCCGGTCCTTGTTTAGATAAGTGGCACCTTCAGTTTGGGCACTTCTAAGCTGCTGAGCTGAAATGTTGAGATCTTCATACTTTGCTTCAGCTCCAGATGAATCATTCTCAACTGTTTGCTCCTTAGTGACACAAAAAGTGTTGTCACATTGATAATTGTGTAGATGTGGCAAGACTTCTTTCATTTCTGTGACCAAGGACCCGTTTTCAGCTATGTCTGACATTTCATCCCCACTATGCTTTGGCTCGGCGCCACTCTCCACGTCAGCTTCTGGGAATAATACTTCCAGAGGAGGAGGGCTTGGGAGATGCTCTTCACTGAGAGTGGTGCTTGAATCGGGTGATTCAGGGAAAAGAGGAGGTGATGCATCAGAGTGAGGAGTTGGGTCTACATTTTGTGCATCCAGTTCAGAATCAGCACCTTCCTGTGTGCTTGAATCTGATGAATCTGAAGAAAGTGAGTAAGTATTACTGCGATCAACAAGACGCTCTTCGTTTTCACTTTCACCACAAATGAATTCACCCCCTCTTTCTTTCTTCAGTTCATTTTTGGTTGAAGTGTTTGTTTCAAGTTGGGACTCTGTGTCATCTTCTGCAGTCATGTTGTTGTTGGCTGACTGTTGAGATGCTGTAAAATCTTTACTATCTTCACTTGTTAGCAGCTTTTTATTGTCATCTTTGTCCAGTAGGAGAACCTCTGCTGTATCCTCTAGAGTTTGTCCTGAATCAGGTGGTTCCGCCTCCTCACTCTGCTCCTCCTTGCAAAGATCAATCAGTGGTTCTTCACCATCAGTTTGCTGCTCATCATCATCATGCAGAGGTATTCCAAGGATTCTTTCAGCACGCTCCTCCAGAGTTTCCTTTTCAGAAACCAAAGAAGACTGCACACCAGAGAGGGAATTGTCACTCTCTTTCTCTTCCTGTTTCTTCAAAAGTATTGGATCCATATCAGCTTCAGGGTCTTCATACTTTTGCAAGGACTCATTTTGATAAACCTGAGCATTGGATTCAGATGTTCTGCCTTCATCATGTGCTGTGGAGTCCAAATAGTGAACTTGCTCCTTCTTTGGTGAAGGAATCATCTCCACTTTGACAACAACACAGCTGGTGTCTATCACCAGTAGACCATTCATATCCTCACTGTTCTCAGCAATGTCTACTTTATCCTTTTCAAAGTCTGTTGATTGGCTTCTTACATTCGCACCTTCATCCTGGTTCAAGATGCTTCCTCTTGTCTCTTTCAAACAGTTTGTGTTGAGGCTCTCAGTTTCTGGCTTGGTACTGGAACTGGGCTCCCTCCATAAAGGGTATCTGGTCAACACAGGCTCCACAGACTGACATACAACTCCAGAGTTTTCCAGGAAAACGTTGTTTGGTAGGTCATCTTTAGGCATAACCTTTCCCCTGCATTCGGGGGTCTTTTTATCTGACTGCTCTGTTAGTGTGTGTGCTCTGAAGTCCACATCATCAGCGATCTTGTTCACTTGGTTGCCAATCTGTCTGTCTTTTGAGAGCTCTCCTATTTCTGTGCTTTGGATGCTACAGACTGGTAAAGATGTGGTTTCACAGGGACTAGCTATTCGAGACACAAGGCAGAATATTGTCATCCCTCCTGTCTTTTTCTTTAGTCTGAACTTCCTTCCTTCTATGACCTTACATATTTCTTCCTTCTCTGTGTCCGACTTCTGAACTGCTTGTGGTTCTTCATCCAGTATCCCTTCAGGTTTCTGTGTATCAATGGAACCGGTTCCCTGTAAAGCATCCCTCTCATGTTTCCTGAACTCCAGCTCCTCCAATCCAGTGCAGATTTTGCCTACATCTTTCTCGACTTTACTCTTGGTTTCCAAATCTAAAAAGACATCTGACTTTCTGAGAGTTGGCTGTGACCAATCGGCTTGCTTCTTCCCAACCAGCTGCCTGCCAAAATCACAATGGTGCATCACAGGCGGACTTTTGTGTGGCCTGTTGTAGGGAGGAGGTCCAATATACCCAGGAGGTTTGTCTGGTACCCTTGATTGGTATTCAGTATTTCCCTTCATGTGGGTTGGGTCAGTAGTAAGAGGTCCTGCTTTGTCCCACAGCCCATGCACTCTGCTGCTTCGATTTAGCTGGTTGTATTGTAGCTGAACTTCAGGATGTGTCAAAAGTTTTTCTCTCTCCGACTGGCCTTGGGCGGCCTCTCGTAACTCTGCTTCTAAGCGTCTCCTCCTTGGCAGCGAGTGACTGTACCGGGCTGCCCAGGCCTCCAGCTCTCGATAGCTGCTGTTGTTCCTCTTAGCAGAAACATCTCTGTTGTAACAGACTGGCTGACTCTGATCCCACCGCTTTGGCAATGCATCTCTCAGAAATCCTCTGTCGTAGTCCCTTGCAGCTGCGTGAGACGCACACTCTCTGTTTCTGGGGTTGTGTTGCCGATACTCCCCCAGGTCCTGGTGGCGCTGTTCATAACGGTGTAAAATGAAGGGAAAGTTTGGAGAAGAGGAGTCAGGTGGCTCGGCGTTGGTCCAGTTGGTATATTCCTGTAGAGCTCCTCCTACTCTTGATCCTGGTACCGTCCAGTCACTGCACTCCCTTCCCTGATCCTGCTGTTCTCCATAGCACAGTGTGTTATAGGTCGCCTGCCGTCTCTCATGATAGCTGTGAGTAAAATGGTGGAAAAATTCAAATTAAATTCAACTTGGAAAACAAAAGAGTTGGAATGTGTTAAATGCATTTACCTTAAGATTCAGCCAGCTGCAAAGCATTTATAACCTAATGCTATGCAAAAGAATTCATACATCATAATTTATATTACTTGTGACTCTTCTCATCTTTTAGTTTAAATATTATATACAACATCCTTTTTGCCTCATATTGGTCCGATTATAATGTTTAGAAACAGATTTTACTCAACTGTATTCAGTTTTTGAAAGTGTTCAGTTTAAGAGATTGCATTACTGGAGCATGTTTGGCAATTAAGTAAGTGTTTCGTTTTTAAGACACTTTTTCTACTATAGTTAAAAATAAAAAAAAACACTTTTTTTAAGCATCATCTAACAAAAAGTTTTTCCTTTTCTTTTTCTTTAGCTTACTTGTTTGCACAATTTCTCCCAGGAAGAGTCCCAAATCTGGGGTACATCTGTGACTGACCCTGATTGTCCAACCAAAACTCCATCAGTTGCTCGCAAGCTCAGATCTGAAGGGTTACAAAAGAAAACATACATTTAAGGTTCATTTGCTTCAAATGACACAATTTCAAGTGAGAAGTTTAAAGTAACACATTTTAGATATTGCATCCCAAATGAACTTAAACACATACCTTCAGTCGCTGTTTTCAAAAACCTTAGCTGAGCCTCCTGAGGTGAGGCGATGAATAACAAAGTCCAAACAGAAGTGCTTTAGGGGATGGTGGATCTCTGTCCTCCTCCCACTCTTTAAACACACACACACACACACACACACACACACAAACATCCATACAATTAAGGGCCCATCCTCTGTTCATGTGGCAATTTTTAAGTAGTAAAATTTTAAGCCTTTTTAGAATTTGACAAACGTTTCCTAAATTATTTATGCTTCGATTTGACAAAATTTTTTATCTTAAATTAGAAATCTAGCATTTCAATATATGTCATATGTACTCTAGTCTTCATGATTGTCTTCCATATTTCTGAAACTTGATAAAAATTTTATTTAAAGAGGCATTCATTTATTATTTAGTTTTATTCGCATTGTTTATACTAAAAAAATATGTTAAATCAGTAAAAATCCTATTCATTGTTTGGTACATCCCAGATGTGCAATTTAAAAAAATGTCCTATCATCAATAGCAGCTACAGTAATGAGTCATTATAAGAATGAAGCATCAACAAAAACAAGTGATTAGTGTTTTTTGGGCCAGTCGCGTGGGAGGTGCTGGGCTGGCAAGTAGATAGAAATCTGTTGTTTTGTTATGTGATTTGTAGCTTAGGGAGCAACCGGCAGCAGTCGGGTCGGCTCCCTTTCTTTGAAACTCTCCAGCGTAACAAACAGGCTTTCCTTTCCTGAACAGAAAAGCTGCACATCAGCAGAGTGCAGGACACCGGGGATGAAGGACAGACTGGCGGCAGCAGGGGAGGGACATCTGTTGATGTCTGACAGCACGGCTTGGGAGGAGAGCAACTTTGTGTTGACGGGTTCTAATAACTTATTCAAAAAAATGCTGCTAAGAATGTCAGTGTGTGTTAAAAATGTTATGTGCATACATTAATTAGATTGTTATAAAATGAAAAACAAACATCAGAGCAGTAGGCAGTGATGAGAACTGAAAAGCTTCTGGATCTGTAAAATGTCTTTATATATTCCAAGAGATAAAGATTAGCCTTAAGTTACATTTTATTAAATCAAACATTTGCAGCAAAATTTGTTTGAACATTGTAGAAAACTGAAACATTAAGACTTAAGTTAAAAATCTACAGCTTCCATAAATTTCAGGTTCAATAATACTTGCAAGTACATAAAAACAATCATTCTTTGTAACAAATCCTTTCTTTAAATATCTAGCATAAACCCAGAGATGAGTACAATGTTTTTGTTGCTTTTACTCTGTTTTGTTGCCAACAAAAACAGTTTTCTGTCCAGTCTCTTATTAAGCTCTTCCTCCTGCTATTCCTCTGCTCTCTTGGACGCACGGTAAATATTATTATTTTGCTTGTCGTCGCGAAGCACAAGCTCCACATCAAATCTGCTCTGCAGGCACTCCTCGTAGAAACTCTGAGTCCTGTGCTCTGTGCGCATTTTCGACGAGAGATACACCACGGCCCCCTTTTTGCACAAATGAGCCAGCGTCTCCACCAGCAGAGGGTACGTCTCTGGCAGGTAGACGATGTCCGCACCGAGCACCAGATCCCAGTCGGAAGGGAAGGTTAAGTGGTCCTCCCCCCAGCAAAGAGGGAGGACATTGGGAGGGGCAAAAGGCCAGCCGGCAGGGGGCACGTTGGCAGATAGGTTCGCCTGAAGTTGTGGCAGAGCCAGAGGGAGGTCCGTGACGGTCACGTCTGCACCTGAAAGACAGTACAGCGTCATGTGACACAGGTGAAAACTCAACCGGATGAGACATCCAGAAAGTCTCAGAACATGTCTATATTGCCGTTCAAGTTGTAAAACACAAGAAATACTTAAGTTATAACAAATTGTTGAGTAATAAAGCAAATAAAAATGGCTGTGAAGAAATTTTTCTGCAATATGTTGGACATGAGATTTTAACATAGCACATCACCGAGGCAAATTACACTGAAATCAAAGGATAGTTGAAGATTCAATATCGAGTCGATTGTGATGACCAGCTTTATCGAGCATGGAGGTGAGATGTGTTTGTTAATTTTCTTGACCTGTGTCCCTGTTCAGAGCTCGGGATTCTTTTTTTCTTTTTGATGAGATGTAGAGAACCTTTTCCTAAATAAGTCTCTGTGTTTCTAACCTTTGAGTTGTAACAGGCCGTTTTACATCATTTTGAGACATGCTGCCTTTTAAATGAGCCCTCTTTGTGAAAGTTTATGAGTAATTCTTGGACAGAATACCCTCTTCCTGATTTATGCTATTAGAACCAGTTAAAAGTTTGTCCAGGTTTAACCATAAACTACCATTTTAATATTTTTATCTGTTGTGCTACCTTTCAGTTTTTAAACACAAAGTGGTCTGTACTTTTTTATCTGTTCTCACTTTCATTTTTAATAAAATCTTATTTGATGCATTTTCCAGTTTTAAAAAGAAATTAATGCATTTTATTAATGCTTGTGTGTCTATTTTAAAGCACACAACAAAACAAATGACATTCATGACTGTAGCAACGATGAGTGAAACATTAATGCAAAGGGCTGCTGAGGTAAAACATTTTGTACCCTGCTATATATGATAATCACAGCTGATATTGTTTTTGCAGTTTTCAACAATAACATTTCATGTTTTCTTAAGATCAGGCAGCCAGTTTTTATTTGCATGAAAGCCACTTTGTTGGACTCTACTATAACACACCGCCATCTAGTGGGCAGTCAGTAAAAGTTCTCTAAACAGATTGATTCAAATCCACTTGGCCTGAGAGCCATGAATTGACTGATGAACTCGTGAATGAAAGACTGCAAAAATACCTTGAGGAATTAATTAATTAAACGATGAATGCATGAATGAAATATAATGAATGAATGAAGTGATGCATAAATAAACGAATACATGCATCGAATTAGGATGGACTAATTACTAAAATGAATGAGTACATAAAGCACTTTGTCTGAATGAATGGATTAGAGAATACACTGATGGATGAATGAATGAGTGAATGAATTCTAGCCTACCCAGACGAGCAGCCAAAATACCGACCACCCCAGTTCCAGCTCCCAGCTCTATGACGCGCCTTCCTCGGAGCTCCACGGACTGATCCTCAAAGTAGCGACATAAATGCAGCGCCTGTGGATCCAGTCACGCAAGTTACCACACAACGTCTCTAACCCACGCATCGCAGAAAGCTTTCGGCTCAGTGACATCCGCTCTTACAGCCTCCCAGACCGGAGCAGCCACGCCGAGGTTGGCCCCGAAAAGCTGCTTTATCCGGAGTTCCTCGCCCATCAGCCTGTACACCGTCTCCTGTGAAAACGTCTCAGCGGACAGGCAGTCCTCATCGACGGGGAACGGGTCGTCTTCATGCTCAGCACAAATCATGGCTAGTGATGAATAAACTGCGGTTTTCACGATTCAAAAGCTCCCATTTCTACTGCAGAAGACCAGGAGTCAGTCGTCTTCCAGGTCAAGTTAGCTGTTACGGTTGTTTCCAAGAATCTCTCAAAAATCTTTGCTAAAATTGGGAGTTCGTATATATTTTCCAATTCGCTACAATTCAATTTGCAATAAATAAATACGTAAAAAGTCATCTTGCAATTAGTTGAAGCGCCGAGCATGTATTGAGACAACTGTCAGCTTTTACTTTGAAAGGAATGAAAGACCCTTTTAGTTTCCGGGTAAAAAAAAAGTGGACAGAACACCTGTGTTCTGTCAGCATACGTTGTCAGACCGCCATACGCCGAGCACAAATTAACATGACGCCATTACGTAGACGTTAGATCGTTATACACTTTATTAACAGCTGTATGACATCATGACTTAGCAGTTAACCATTCAGACCATCATCAAGGAATCTGACAGAACAGAAGGCTAACGTAATACTGCCCTCTTTGACGTCATTACGTTACTCCAAGCGTTATTGTACCTTATTTTTGTCCTTTCACGTCTGCCTGTTTATGGCGAATCTTTTAAAATCGGATTTGCTTTTGAACACATCATGAACTATGACGTCTTGCTGTCGCCACACAACACGCAAAAGCCTTTACTACGCCACAGTCAGTGACTTAACATAACCAATAGTAATTCGAATTTACTTCATATCTCTTGGACACAAAACTTGAGCATCAATCTGCTGTTTTAAGACAACAACAAAAAAATCAGCAGAAAAACAAATAGCAGAAAGACAATATAGATTTGACAGAAAATTCTGGAAGATGGATTCTGAAACATCAAGCGGCTCCAACATCACACGCTTTGATATTTTCATGGAAAACCAGCAGCCTTCTGAGATCGATTTTGACAGTATCACTATGGAGCTCAACGCTTTGCTGGATAGACTCAGAAGGGTTTATGAATCTGAAGAGAGTTTAGATAGAAGAGTTCACAAAATGACAGCTTCTCTCGAAACTCAGAGACTTGCCCAAAAACTGACTCGAAAGATCTTCTTTCACCTAAGGTACCGTAATCAAAACGAGCTGCCTGTTTCTCCTGACACTGATCGTCTACTTCCCTCTGGCAGCTCTGATATGGCGAAAACAAATGCAGATCTTAAAAAGGTAAGCTATTCAGAGAAATTGTACACAGTTGCGAGGAAAACATCTGAAACATTTTTCAAGAGACTTTTTCAGAGATTGCTGAAGTCACCAGACACTGTTGAAAACCAGGAAGTACACACTGCCTTCAAAGAATTACAAAATGAGGTTTCAAATATTTCCATATCTCCACAGACCCAAAGCGTAACAACTGTCACTGAAGATGACCAGGTAAAACCATCTCCTATTTGCTTGATTGAGTCCTCCATGGAAGGACAAGATGCCACAAATGCGGCAGGACAACATCCTAGTCCACTAACTCGTAGTGTGCCAGACACTTTTGAAAACCAAACAGTGCACACACCCTTAGAAGAAGTACAAGATGAGGTTTCAAATATTTCCATCACTCCAGCAACCCAAAACTTAGAATCAACTGACACTGAAGACGCCCAGTCAAAGTCATTCCCCCTGAAGCAGTCCTTAATAGAAAATGCAGAAGGACAACATCCTAGTCC